TTTTTATATTCGTTGTATTTTGTGCTTTCAATTGTAATACAAAGCTCTCATGAATGCTTATATTTTAATCAATAACACGAAACACTTCGTCAAAATTAATTTTGTATCTCTTTATTAGTCTTTTACTAAGCACTTTCACTTTGATTACAAAGTACGGCAACAAGTAATCGATTTCTGAAAAGAAAGAGTTGAGAGAAGCAGATTAATATATATCAGAGACATAAACATCGATCTGTTTTCGATTGATTTACATACATTCACACACTCTGATTCACATCTCATCCGTAGCTCTAATGGGACACTTATACATATTTCATATTTGCGCTTCACAAATAGAAGCAAATTGACATGTATGAAATTTCAATATTAATTGTTTTTATGAAGAGGCTTCATGCATCATTGCACATACATTTAATTAGTAAGAGTAATCATCTGATAATGAAAAACAAATGTGCATAGATAATTACATATTCATCGATGCAAGAAGAAAACAAGTTACATTACAGTGAAGATATATAGTTATGATTAGTGCTCGAATAACGAACAGAAGTGTTGGCAATCGATACGAACTACTTACAAGTCTATAAGTGGTAAAAACACTTTCTTTGTTATCTTTATAGTCATAGTGTGAAGCAATTAGAATTAGAAATGAAAAAAAAAGAAAAGAAAAGTTAGAAGCTGGAAAACACAATAAGAGCAGAGAAAGTTATATAGAAAGAGAATTAAAAAATACTAAAAAATGACAGTTACTAAAAGGAGTAGATAAATTTAGAAAGAATTCAATGAATGATAGAAGCATATGTGAGAATAATGATATAAGTTATCGAATTCTTTTGTCCATAAATCAACTGAGAATAAGCAAGGAAGGATTGTTGTGAAGTAACTCCTCAACTTTCTTTTCTTTTGAATAGCTTTACATGTTTATTATAACTATCTCATCCATTCTTTGATGCTGTTAATCAATTCTTTCCATCAATTAGCTATTGAATCTTCTGCAATTCCAGATGAATAGACTAGTCAGGAACATGTTTTCTGTTTCTCACACCTCATCCGATCAATTTTTCAGCTTTATATTACTTCTTCCTATTCGTAATCACCCTGAGCAAAACCATTCTCTTCCGACACTTTCTAACTGTATGATTAAGATAATGACGTTTGGAAAAGCTGGAAATTTACAGTGATCGATAGTATGTTTTTGATGTGACAACGGTCAAAGAGTATACTTATAAAGCTAGTATGAATGAGAAAATTGACAATGTCTGAGAACCGAAATCGATCGATGTAACATTCAAGCGACCTTCTGTATACAATCAGATTTGAGTATTTGCTCCACTTTCACTTTCACATCTTCAAAATTTGTGTCCAGCGATATTTCATGGATAACAGTATACTAAAAAACAGGTGCTGAAAACCTCTTCTTGATCAAATGATGATCGAGTCGAGATATTTGAGAAAATAGACAATTTGCATAACATCAAATGTACAAAGTTGTCTTCGGCGGATCTATACCAATGCAAAAACAAATTAGTTCATAATCAAATCTTAGATTCATTGAAAAATATCATTCAGAAGAGTCAATCTCAGTTTTTGATGTCTATCGATCAGTCTCTTCTCAGATGTTTCGAATGGTTGAAATAGACTTCCCAAGAAATACATTTTTCTCTATCTGATATTTTCATTTTCGAGTTGTATGTACTTATTAAGTATGCATTCTCATCTTGCAATGGAAGTGTAGTCCTACTGAACATCTCCAAATACTTTTAGAACTATAGAACAATAAAACTGCTCTAAATTTTCATTTATTGCCACATCAAAACATGTTCTGTATTTCTATAAATTTCTTTGTTATCATCATATATTCTTTCTTTGATTATGTACCCAAAGGAGAGTTTTGATCGAAATATGTATTTTACTTCTATGTCGTTTTCATTGGATTTTTACTGTCAGTTTTAATTGTCATTGAAGTTGCGAAGATTGTTTATTTCGTTTAAAAAGCCAATTTATTAACTTGATATAGTATTTAAAGTTTTGTGTAGTAAGTAATTGTTTCGAGAAAATACTAGAATTTCCATGGATTTCATCCGAATCGTTTTATCTTTCGAAACTAGTAGAAATTGATGTCCTCAATCCGGATATAGGCTTCAATGTGATTTCTGACCAGTGACTTCAAGAGCCTTCTTAGCCTAAAACAGGATTTTAATTTTTCATGGCTTTAAACGATGTCAGGCTAAAATTATTAGAGTAGATACTAGTTAACGAGAGAAATATTTTCTGATGCGGAAAGTTCTTTCGTTGATGCTTTATTAGTACAACAAAGGTATCTGACAGGTCCGAATTTTATGGAATTTTTTGAGGCTGCTTTCGAATTCAAATCATCAAATTTTAATAGTTCCAAAAGTTGAAATGGTTCGAATGAATTCGATGTAATTGTAGCACATTTCTCAAAGTATTCTCCTACTTTCTTTCCTTTTTTACTTCTAGATTAATCAGCATATTTGCTCTGGAACCGAATAATGATGTGGCATTTGTGGAGCTTTCGATGGTTGTTGGTACTTCTAATATTCGAGCAATTTAGTATACAGTATACAAAAGCAACTTGGCCATCGTCAAACATCTCAAGTATACAACTATTAGGTCTTTTTCAAGACACATCAAACACATCTAAATCTACTATGTTGTCTATTCATTCTCGTGCCATGTTTAAAGCAGCAATCATACTTTCTCAGACATATAACATAACAATCGGAGAACAATTTATTGGATGGCAAACCGTACAAACTGATGCCAATGCAATCAGTGCTCTTCGCAGTACATGTTTGGCAATATCTTCTTCGAATATCGTAGGCATTGTGGGTCCTGTATCATCGAGAGAAGCGAACTTTATTGCTGATTTTGCAGAAACAGTTAGTATTCCTGTAATATCCTATGCTGCAACTAATCCTGATTTATCTGATCGAAATACATATCGTGTATTTTATCGCACAGTTCCTTCGGATAATGTAGCTGCAGTAGCAATTGCACAACTATTCACACGATTTAATTGGACATCATGTATAATTGTTTATCAAAATGATGACTATGGTATTGGTGGTACAAAAGTACTAAGTGAGGCATTTAGTAAGAAT